TTTTGAAGATTCATGCATAGAGAGTTGTAGTAGTATAAAAGTTTGATTGGTTTTCAAACATTTTGAAGATTCATTGTTGTACTATTTTGATTTCAACTGATATTGTTTTGTTCTCTTTTATTTTGTTTCTTCATTTTGAACAAAAAAATGGTTATTTCATTCATTGTTGTTGTTGATGATGATGAAAAGATGCACAATATATATATATATATATATATATATATATATATATATATATATATATAAATAAAATTAATATTTTAGATTTTTCTATGGTTGCATTAAAGATATATTATTTATGGTACACTTTTTTAATATCTATTGAATATTTTTGTCCCTAAAAATATATGATATGGTCTATTATATTAGTAATCAATCACAAAATAAATGAATAAATATTTTTTTATTGAATATTTTTAATGATATATTCTAATTGAGCACACCCGGTATCACTTTGTAAGAATACACTACATTGTTGTTGTTTTAATTAAACATATAAAGTTTGTATTTTTTAAGTTAATAATGAAACCGTATGAGAATATATGTAAATTTGTGACTAATAAAATTAATTTCGATTAGAGAACTTTTTTAATTATAATTTGTTATTAATAACATTTTAAGTTTATTACGTATTCATTTTCTCCTATTAAATAGATAAAGGAGAAACTAATCTTACAAACATAATTGGAACTTTGAATTTAGCATTCCCTAAAATTAATCTCATTAATTTTCCCTTCTTAAACAAAGAAATATGTATCTCTTTATCTTCATAACTTATATTTCTATAATCTTTATAACTCCTCAAAACTCTCAAATTTTGAATGAGTAAACTTATGATAATTTATTGTGTTTCTCAATGAATAACTAAATAAATGTGTATTGTAAGACAATCCTTTTTTAAGCAAATGTTATTGTATTCTAATTCATTTGATGTACTCATGATAGAGGAAAATTTTATGAATTATGTATATTGATTTTTTCTTGCTTTTTAGTTAGTCATGTTCAAGAGATCAATTCTTGGCCACATAATCTTAGTTCTAAATTCATATTTCCATAATCTTTATAAATCCTCATAACTCTCAAATTTTAAATGTATAAACTTATGATAATTTATTGTGTTTCTTAATAAATATTTATATAAATGTGTATTGTAAGACAATCCTTTTGAGGCAAATGTTAATGTATCTTAATTCACATTTGATGTGCTCATGATGAGGAAAATGTTTATATATATATATATATATATATATATATATATATATATATATATGAACTATGATAGAAGATATTTAATTCATTTGCCAAAATAAAAAATAACAATTAAAAAAATTATATAATTTGATGAATCATGTTTTTGTTATTTTATTTATTGTTTTTTTAATTCCACTTTAGTTTATCTATTTTTTATTTCACGTTTTATTAGAAGTAATTGAAAAACAAAATCTAATAAATGAAAATATTGATCCCATAATTGAAGATTTTATAATTTTTTAGTCAAAATTGTTCTCTTTTTTTGCTTTGGTTTACTTATATGTTAATTGTGTTCCACACAAATATTTTATAATATTAAATACTTGTATTTTATATACTATGAAAATCGTATTTTGTAACTCTTTTGAAGTATAATTAAATATAGATCAAAATAAATAAAATAGTGAATATAAATATTTAATATACATTTTATGAAATTTAAAAATAGGACAAACATATATGCCAAAAAAAATTATTCATGCATTTGATAAATTAATTTATTTTTGTTAAATATGTATCTTTTGAAAATTTTAAATAAAAGATGAATACAAATGACTAATTAAGTTGATTTGATTTTTAATATATTTTTAAAAAATAAAACACAAAATTTTGTACATAAAAACTTTACATATTAGTATGATTAAATAAACACAAAATTAAAATTAAAATTTTAAATTATTTTAATATACTAAGTAATGAGTATATATCTTAGGGGGTTTATGTATTAATTTATATAGAAAGAGGTGCAATCATTGATTTGAGAATGCAAGAAGTATATTTGAAATGAAAACATATTTTCAGAGTATTCAATTTAATTAACTTTTGAATTTTATTGTTCTATACACATTACATGTGAAGAGGTTTATTATCTATCAAATATTTTTACGTAGTTTATATGAATCCATCTATCTTTATATTTCATATAAAATATATAGATTAAAATATAGTAAACGCGTTAATAATTTTTGTAAAAAAACATATTCTCATTCGAGGTTGAATATATTGAAACTTGATAATAGCGTAACATTTTGGATAACATTCTTAAAAAACAAATTTGACAAATGATAACAATTATCTTTGATATAAATGCAACTAAAGAATCTAAAATAACAATAGATGTGATTCATGCAAAAATCATACAAATTTAAATTGTATATTTGAAAAGGGAAAAAAATGATAGAAAAATGAAATATTCAAAGGAGTTTTATCATATCAATATGAAAAAAAATAATAAGACTTGTAGATTAATTTTATTAGTATTTTTCAGTTACTTTATAATATAATTCTTATATACTCAAGAAAAAAAGTACATCGAAGTATATGTTGTAATATAAAGATACAAACTCATTGATATTCCAATAAAATGTAGAAAGTGACATATTAACTACCTGTCCAAACAAAAAAATTACTAAGAAAATATATATTGACATTTGACATTTTGATTAATAATGTACTATCCCCCATTTAATAGATTATAGGTGTTAAATTTGTTAAGTTTCATTTCGATCGTCATCTCAAAACGATCTTCATAATTAATATATAATAAAAAAAATAAAGTGATAATATTACGTTTGGAAATAAAGAGAGCTATATAATTGATTGAAAAAAAGTAATCCTTTATATTTATTTTATTTCGCGGGGTCAAATTCCCTAGTAAAATAATAAATGGAAATTAAAAAAACCAAGGAGACGATGATCAGATGATAATTTTTATACCTAAAGAACTTTTGATTTTTCGTGTTAGAGAAAAAAACTGTTTCCTTTCTTTATTTACTTTTTAAAAAAATATATCAATAATTCTCGAAATTATCTCATCTTTCCTCTTCTCCAATACCAATAACTCTATAAATTATCTAATCTTTCATCTTCCCCAATTTATTACTCAATTAAATCGTAAAATAATTTATAATTATATATATTGAATGGGGTACACTACTAAAAAGAGGCCAAAAAGAGACCTAGAACTGGAGACCTCAAAAATAGGTCAATAATAAGAGACCTCATGAGGTCGCTATTTAAATTAATATCTTTTAATTTTTTTTTAATGTAGAAGAGACCTCGTGAGGTTAATATAATGAATAATTTTTTTATCTGACTTATTTAAAAATTTTAAATTTTTAATCTAATTCTCATAAAATTGGAGACCTCATGAGGTCTCTAATTTTTTAACTATTCAATTAAATTAAATTATTATTTTTAATTTAACAATTTGAGACCTCATGAGGTCTCTACTTGTTAAATTAAAAATAATAATTTAAAATATTTAAAAATTTAGAGACCTCATGAGGTCTCTTAAACAACACCAAAAACCTAGCCAAAATTAAAATAGCTCTTTCTTCCCTCTCTCTTAATTTTTGGTCACGACTGCGCGCCTCTCTCTCTTTCTCACAGCTCGTGACCGCCTCTCTCTCTTTCTCACTGCCCTCGCGACCCTCTCGCTCATCGCGACCCTCTCGCTCATCGCGACCCTCTCCGCCGCCAGCTCTCGCAGCAGCAGCACTGCCCTCTCGACCCTCTCCGCCGCCAGCTCTCGCAGCAGCACTGCCCTCGCGACCCTCTCGCTCATCGCCAGCTCTCGCAGCAGCAGCAGTCGCCTCAGCAGTGCCTCCATCTCCAGGTAAATTTATTTATTTTTGGTTATTGAAACTAAATGTGTTAGATCATTGAGGAGGTGTTTGAGGTTAATTTGATTGTATTATTATATATTTATATCTCATTGTGATATTGTAACTTTGCACATATACTTATGTTGTTATGAATCTTTAATGAAAAGAACCTATTGGTAAAATGTGTGTGATACTACCTTGATCTAATAAGCTGAAAAATGTTCTTTCAAGCACCAAGTAAACATGAAAAAAAGGTGACTATCAAGAAAATCTTTTGACCTAATTATAACTAATTTAAGGATCTCAATGATGTCAAAGATATTGAAAGTTAATACTCAATAAGAAACTCATTTATAATTAAGCAGGAAGACACTCACGAAATGTTCCCCAGAAAGTACTGAAACTTAGGCCATGTACTATGCTGATTATTTTTCATTGCATGAATGTTTACTTAATTTGATATATTTCAAGTTGATATACAATATATAATTTTGAATATTCTGAAACATAATAAAAACAAAGTGTTCCTATCATTATTTATTAAGCATAAGTACCCAACACTAGTTGATCCTATTGATGACAAAATTGATTTTCTTTTGAAAATCAATTTGTGTCCATCTAGTGTTAACACTTAGCTTTAAATTTTAGAAATAATTATTTGTTAAGCATAAGTACCAACACTAGTTGATCCTATTGATGACAAAATTGATTTTCTTTTGAAAATCAATTTGTGTCCATCTAGTGTTGACACTTAGCTTTAAATTTTAGAAATAATTATTTGTTAAGCATAAGTACCAACACTAGTTGATCCTATTGATGACAAAATTGATTTTCTTTTGAAAATCAATTTGTGTCCATCTAGTGTTGACACTTAGCTTTAAATTTTAGAAATAATTATTTGTTAAGTTTGTAACTATCGTGTTAGTATTAAGTTAAACTAAATTTAATTAAACTTAGAAATTTGTTAAGTTAGTTAATAAGTTAAACTTGTTACTATAGTATTAGAATTTAGTTAAAACTAGACTAATTAGACTTAGAAATTCATTAAGTTGGTTAATAAGTTAAATTTGTAACTATTGTGTTAGTGCTTGACAAATTTAATTTATGATTCTTATGTAGATGGATCGTAGTTGGATGTATAATATGACTAATTTTGGTCGAATGGGGATAAGACCTAAATTTGTAGAAGGTGTCATTGGTTTTGTGGAGTATGCAAAGACATTAGATCCTTTTCAACGTAGTGGTATGATTAAGTGTCCTTGTAATAAATGTCAATGTTTGAATTATGAAAAACCAGATGTTGTTGAGCTTCATATCTATCGAAATGGGTTTAAAAAAGAATACACTGTGTGGACTAGTCATGGAGAAATTGATAATAACTTTGATGTATTCCAACATTATGTTCCTGGTGAAAGTAGTAGCAATGTGAATTCTAATGCACAAAATTATAGAATTGATGACATGGTTCAAGATGCTTTTGGTGTGCATTCTGATTTTGATTTTGCTAATCAAGGTGAAGAAGCTCCTAATGTTGAATGTAAAATTTTCTTTGAACAATTGGAATATGCTAGTCGACCTTTATATGAGGGGAGTCCACACTCACAGTTGTCTATTGCGGTTAGATTATTAAGTATCAAATCAGATTGGAATATTCCTCAAGGGGCAATGGACTCTGTGATTGACCTTATTCATAATTTAGTTGACCCAAATCTAGAGATACCTGATAATTTCTATAAGGCCAAAAGGTTGGTATCAAAGTTAGGAATGTCATCGATGAGAATTCATTGTTGTGAAAATGGTTGCATGTTATACTATAAGATGATATTGATCTAGAATCGTGTAAGTTTTGTGGAAAATGTCGTTATAAGCAGACTGCTAGTGGGAAGAAAGTTCCTATTAAGGCAATGCATTACTTACCTCTTATTCCAAGGTTAAAGAGGTTGTATGCGTCTAATAGATCTGCTCCTCATGTGAGATGGCACCATGAACATAGAAGACCACCTGGAGTTATGTGTCATCCATCCGATGGAGAGGCTTGGAAGCATTTTGATAGAACACATCCACAATTTGCAGCTGAACCATGTAACATTAGATTGGGTTTATGTTCAGATGGATTCACGCCACATTCTGTTTCTGCTGCACCATATTCTTGTTGGCATGTATTTGTAACACCATATAATCTTCCACCCGAGATGTGTATGACCAGTCCATATATATTTCTCAATTGTGTCATTCCTGGCCCTCGGAATCCAAAAGTATTGGTTGATGTATACTTGCAACCTTTGATTGATGAGTTGAAACAATTGTGGGTTCAAGGGGTTGAAACATTTGATGTGTCTCTTAAGCAGAATTTTAATTTGCGGGCTGCCTTAATGTGGACTATTAATGATTTTCCAGCATATGGAATGTTGTCAGGGCGGATGACAGAGGGAAAGTTAGCTTGTCCTTATTGTATGGAAAATACTAAATCATTCACTTTGAAACATGATTCTTGGTTTGACTGTCATCGACAGTTCTTGCCAATGGATCATGAGTTTAGGAGTATGAAAAATGCATTCAGAAAGAATTATGTTGAACAAGGTTATCCTCCTCATATCTTAACTGGAGAACAAGTTTGGGAGAGGGTTCAAAACTTTCCAAAGGTCGCAAAATAACAACCCTATAAATTTGATGGATATGGTGTTGCACATAACTGGACAAAACAAAGCATATTCTGGGAGTTACCATATTGGAAGGACAATCTTCTTCGACATAATCTTGATGTCATGCATATTGAAAAAAGTTACTTTGATAATTTATTTAACACAGTAATGGATGTCACTGGAAAGACAAAAGATAGTGTTAAATCTAAAATGGACTTACCTGAATATTGCAGGCGAAAAGAGCTATGGTTGCAAGAGAAACAGAACAACAAGTTCTTCAAGCCTAAGGCTAGTTATTCATTTACAAGGGATCAAAAGCGTAAAATTTGTGAATGGGTCGAGCAACTTAAGATGCCTGCTGGACATGCTTCAAATTTAGGAAAATGTGTTGATATGGAGCATGGAAAATTACATTGTATGAAAAGTCATGATTGTCATGTCTTCATGGAAACATTACTCCCCGTTGCATTTAGTGGCTTGCCTGATAGAATTTGGAAACCTATGACTGAAATCAGTTTGTTCTTCAAGGACTTGTGTTCTAATACGTTAAGGGAAGACAACCTAGTTCAGATGGATCAGAATATTCCTGTAATTACGAATAAGTTGGAGAAGATTCTTCCACCTGGATTTTTCGATGTGATGGAGCATCTTCCTGTACATCTAGTGCATGAAGCACGCCTTGGAGGTCCGTTCAATATAGATGGATGTATCCTTTTGTGTTACGACCCAAATCTGGGCCACGACTAGCACCCACACTTACCCTCCTATATGAGCTAACCAAGTCTCCGATCCTCATTCTATCCTGGTGTCGGAACGTGACACCCGATCCATATTCTATCCTGGTACCGGAACGTGGCACCCGATCCATATACTATCCTGGTGTCGGAACGTGACACTCCGATCCTCATTCTATCCTGGTGTCGGAACGTGACACCCGATCCATATTCTATCCTGGTGCCGGAACGTGGCACCCGATCCATATACTATCCTGGTGTCGGAACGTGACACTCCGATCCTCATTCTATCCTGGTGTCGGAACGTGACACCCGATCCCTCCGCTCCTCATTCTATCCTGGTGTCGGAACGTGACACCCGATCCATATTCTATCCTGGTACCGGAACGTGGCACCCGATCCATATACTATCCTGGTGTCGGAACGTGACACTCCGATCCTCATTCTATCCTGGTGTCGGAACGTGACACCCGATCCATATTCTATCCTGGTGCCGGAACGTGGCACCCGATCCATATACTATCCTGGTGTCGGAACGTGACACTCCGATCCTCATTCTATCCTGGTGTCGGAACGTGACACCCGATCCCCTAATCTCACTACTTTCGTTCATCAAGCCTTCTTTTATACCAAGGCATCATCATTAACAAAGTAGATTAGGGTTTTGCAAGATTTGGGATTCAATAACTTCATCATGCTTATATAATCACAATTATATAATTACGTTAATGCAAGCATACAATTAAGCACATAGCAGGGTTTACAATATTATCAATACATATCATTCGCTATTAAGAGTTTACTACAAATATCGTAAGAGAAACCATAACCTACCTCCACCGAAGACTAGTGATCAAGCAAGAATTTCCCAAAGCCTTGTGTTTTTCCTCTTCGTTCGTCTCTCTCTATCGATTCTCCTTCTCTCTCTTTCTGTTCTTTTCTTTTTCTTATTCAAACCCTCTTTCTTTTACCCTAATTAGCATATAATTAAGAATAAAATATGGCAATAATAACCCACTAATTAACTTAAGGTTATCTCTTTTAACCCCCTAGTAATTAGACTTATTAACATTAACCCACTAACTTTATAATTAAAGCAGGAATAGTCAAAAACGTCCCTTAAAATGTATCAAGAAATCCGACCCAGACTGGGATTACGCAGTCTGTGACGGCCCGTCGCGCCTGCGACGGTCCGTCCTGCTGCCCGTCACAGATTTCAGAGACTCAATTTCTATGAAGAGTCTGTGACGGTCCGTCCTGTCATTCCGTCACGAAGTTCAGAGAGTCGATTTTCAGTACCCAATTTCAGATTTTTTTAAGTGTTTTGAAACGAGACCCTGCGACGGTCCGTCGTGGGGTCCGTCGCCTCAGCCTGTTTTTCCAGAACTAAAATCTGCTGCTCAAAACGACTAAACAGGTCGTTACATTTTGAGAGGTAAATATTTAACAAATAATATTTTTATATTAATATGTTGTTTAAATCAATGATAACAATGTATAATGTAGGACTATTGGAAATTCTAAACGGGGCATGAAACAAAATCATAGAGTTGAAGGCTCAATGGTTCAATTCCATCTTTGTAGGGAGATAACTAATTTTTGTTCTTATTACTTTAAAAGAATTGTGTCATGCTTTCAAAATAGACCCAACTGCCATGACGATGGTGGTGAGACTATGAAGCCACTATCAATCTTCAATCAACCAGGCAAAGGTTCAAAAAAACGCACAAGGAGGAATCTTAGTGCCATTGAGTTGCAGTCTGCATCTACACATGTCTTATTGAATTGCCCACAAGTTAAACCATTTGTTGAGTAAGTTTTTTTTCTCACTAAAATATGTAATTACAACACAAAACAATTAACTCAATATACATCTTCTTTGACAGTTACTTTGTGCATTTATATGGCAATGAAAGAGTATTTGAGAATTTCTCAAAGTGGTTTCAAGATTACGTAAGCCTTATAATATTTTCATAATACTATTATTATTAAATAAATTTATATTTAATTGATGCTAATTTCTTACTTTTTAAATATTTATAGATTTATGACACAAAAAATGGTCAATTTGACTAATTTTTGAAGGACATTTCTTGGGGACCCATCAAGACTTATTCAATGAATAAGTATGTTGTTAATGGTTTTAAATTCACTACTGAAGAATACTCCAAATATAAAAAAAACTAACAATAGTGGAGTTTGGGTAAAAGGTGGTGATGGAAATCTAGATGGAGTTGATTATTATGGGGTACTCAAGGAGGTTTTGGAAATGGAGTATTCCGGTTGGCTTACAAAAAAAATTATATTATTTAGATGCAAGTGGTTTGATCCAACCCCCAAAAGAGGTACGAGAGAAATCAAACAATATAATATCATTGAAGTAAAGCACACAAGGGAATATGAAGCTTATGATCCTTTTATTATTGCACAAAATGTTAAGCAAGTGTACTATGTTCCTTATCCCTTGCGTCCAGATAAAGCTGATTGGTGGGTGGTTATTAAAACCAAACCCATGGGCCGTGTGGAAGTTGAAAACGTGTTGGATGTTGCATACCAAAATGATGATTCATCAATTGTTCACCACACCGTCGATATTGAATTAGAAAATAATTTAGAGCATCCTGAACACATATTAGAAGAGGTTGATATGGAAGAAATAACAAATTAAGGGGCAAATGCAACAATTCATGAGGATGAGTTTGAGTATGATGATGAGGATTAAGATGAATATGAGGACGAGGACGAGGACAAGGATGAGGATGAGGATGAGGATGGGAATGAGGATGGGGATGAGGATGAGGACGAGGAGGATTAGTAATTACCATTGTATCTCTGTATTGATTGCTTTATAGATTTATTAATGATACAAAGAGTAATTTATAAATCTATCCTTGTGTGCCTTTTGTTTTAATTTCAATAACTTCAACTTCATATGTTCTCGTGTGCCTTTTGTTGGATGTTGTTTTCGATATTATTTTGTACTTGTGGTTGTGGCTTTATTTTATTTTAAAAAGTGATGAACTGCTAGATAAGCTACTGGATGATGTTTGTCTCTCATATCTTCAATATCTAACAACCTTTGACTTGAATGTTTTTGTTACTAATTAGATGACAGGTAAATGTAAGAATAAAGATATTGATAATGGCCCCAAAAAGAAAAAAAAGAAAGAAGGTATGGTTAGTAGACAACAAACAGGTATACATATGAGATAAGACAACACAACATCTCTCCCACTAAAAGACACTCAGCCACATAGCTATTCTAGGCAGACCGTGCCTCCACGTATTATTCCTCCTTCGACCTATATGTATCCACCACTGGAATATACTCAGCCGCCCCCTCAAGTACCTTTGATGAAGACCACATCAGGGAATGCTACCTCATAGGGATACAGTGTTTTGCCTCAAGAGGATAATCGACCAACGTCTAGTGTCTCTCGCACTAATACTCACAACCCTGCAGACTCACAACCATCATCATCATCTGCTTCACAACTTATGATGTCGAGTCTTCGCATTCAAGGTAATAGTTCTGAGCCTAACACTCCTACCACAAATCAGTCAGATACACCTGGTCATGACAATACACAAGTTGGCATGAGGGACATGCATAATAGACATGTCATTGAGCCTGAAGGCTACACGTAAGTTTTTTGTAAAAAGATATAGTATGTTTATTATTATATGATTTAATTCTATTTGTTTTAACTTGTAAATGTTAAAACTTTGTATTATAGTTTCAATCCAGATGATGCTGTGGGGATCATTTCTCAGACAATCAAAGAACTTTATAGAGATGCTTATCCTACATGGGGCAAGTTCCCTAGCAATCTCAAGAGACAAATATTTTTGGAGTTCAGGGTATATTCGAATTTATTTGTTTAACACTATTAAAATACTTGTCTTCATTAATACTTATCAAATAAAATAATTTATGCTTTGATTGTAGAAAAAATGTGCTTGACGTCCGGAACATGAGGTCAAAATTTGTGCAAACTTTCACAAGAAAGCTACGCATACTCTTGCTAGTTTGTTTAATAAAGCTCGTAGAGATAATAGCAAACCTAGTTGGGTTCTACCGGAGGATTGGGAAAAATTACTCGTGCATTAGAAATATGATCCAAGATTTAAGTAGATGAGTGAGATCGGTAAAAAGGCAAGATCATCTACTAAGGGTGGTTCTCTACACACAAGTGGGGCTCAAAGTCAAGGAAGGGTGAGGAGGAAATTGGTGTGTATCATTTTTCTTTGTGTTTATATATTTTATGTATTAATATT